GCCGGCTGGTCCCTCGGCCTCTTTCCTTCCAGACAGTTCTTGGTACCAACGTAGCTCCCTCTGCCATAGATGTATTCCAGGAAAACGGGGTGTGAAAAATCACATTGGAAAATGGGAAAGTACTGTTCTGGGGTTGGATGGTGGTGATGGCTGCACAGCCATGTAAATGCACTTAATGCTGCTGAACTGTACACTGTTTAAAAATGGTTAAAATAGTAGATTTTATGTTGTCTATATCTTGCCACAACTGTTTTAAAGTGAAAAAGAAAAAAAAGCAAACTACTTAAAATTAGTTTAGTATGTCAGGGCTGGAAAGGTCACTAAAGTTCCCTTAGTTTAGCATTTCCCAAGAGGTGACACATTCACAGCAGGTGGTTGGCAAGATAAGTGTACGTGGAACACAAAGCAACATTTTTTTTTGACTGTCATCAGACTATGCTACTCCAAAATATGCCACTTGGGCATAAGCGTTATTTTGAGCTGAAAACAATTAAGAAATAGAAGATGTTAAAACAAACAAACAAACAAACAAACAAAACTTCTCTGCTTCCCCTCCCCCCCCCGCCTTAAACGGTCACCTCCACACGGCCTGTGTGTTTACAGATATGAATGCTGGCCAGGATCCGCACCCCTTCTCCACGCTCATGACGCACTTTGTTTGCAGGTATCTACGAAAGTGATGACATCAGTGCCATCGTGTCTGAGATGGAAAAGGCTCTCAGCTACTCCCAGAAGGTATGCCTTACATGCAAGGGAAATGACTAGCTTCTATACCAGGGTCCTGGGCTGTCATATAAAGTGCCACAAACGGGGTGGCTTGAAGAAACAGATATTTATCGTCTCAAAGTCCCAGAGGCCAGTAGTCTGAAGTCAAAAGGGCCACGTTCCCCGCTGAAGGCTCTGGGTGGAACCTCTCCTTACGTCTCCCTCGCTTCTGGTGGTGGCTGGTATTAAGGAAGTGAAATGGCACCGAATGCTTGTTAAAAATAGCAAGGAAGACATTATTCAAGACGGCTGCAGTAGGGGAGAGAGATTGAACTCAGCTCCAATTATGCAGCAACGATAGCTGGGGATTCGTAGCCAAGCAGCAGAGTGACAGGGTCAGTGCATGGGAGACTTCTAAGAGGAACTTGGTTAGGGGGAGATTCTTGTCAAACAGGCTTCACAGGATTCTTTGCTGGAACTGGGTTCAGCAGGCCAAAGTCAGAGCCCAGTGAAGAAGAGGGCTCAGAGGACTGTGACTAAAGTTTGGTCAAGGAGAGACTCCTTGTCACCAGTAATCCTCGGCATTCCTTGCCTTCTAATCTCTGCCTCTATCTTCACGTGGCCCTCCTCCCTCTGTATGTGTGTCTGTGTCTCTTCTCCAATTATAAGGACACCTGTCATATTGGATTAAGGGCCCAAACTTCCAGGATGACCTCATTAACTTGCATCGTAATTACATCTGCAAAGGCCCTATTTCCAAGTCAGGTCACATTCACAATTACCAGGGTTTGGACTTCAATACATTTTTTGGGCGACCCAAGGCATCCCACATCAGCTTCCCTCCTTGTGTACTCATCCACTGACACCTGAGGCTTCTGATGAATCATGAGAGTTTCCAGTAAGTCATTGATTTCAGGTCCGTGTGCTCTACATCCTGGCCTGTACATCCTTGAACACGTCAAGCTCATTCCTAAACTCAGGGCCTTTGCACCTGCTATTTCCTCTGCCTGCCATTCCCCTCCCAGGTCTTCCATGGATGGTTCCTTATTATTCAAAGTTCACTAAACTGTCAGTTCCTCAGAGAATGGAATTGAACAGTTCAAGGTGAGGTGAGAGAGGGACCGGATCATGTCAGGAGCAATGAGAAATAAGGGAAGAAATGTGAGAACGTGTCTCTAAGGAAGAATTGATCAGACTTGTGGCTGATTGAATGTATGGGGTGGGGAAGAAGAAATCCCACAGTGACTCCCAAGTTCCTTGCTGGGGAACCCAATAGACAGTGGTGCCGTTGATCAAGAGAGAAATAACAGAAGGGGGTACAGGGAGGGAGAGTCTAGAACAAAGGTGAGTTTGGGGGGGCCTGTGAGATAAGTGGGGGTCTCCTTCAGGCAGGTGGGAAAAGATGAGGGCTGGACATAGAGGTGTGGGGCCGTTGAAGCCATGGGGATGGACAGAGTACATGGGTGGCCATGGTCAAGGTGGGGAGACTCAAACTGACTCACATGTCTGTTACCACCATTGTCAGGACTGCCCAGCTCCCCAAGGACATTGCGAGCTCCTGGGAGGGCAGGGCCACAGATTGGCAGACCTGTGACTCCCCTAGATGAATCTTAGCAGTCCTCCCAGAAAGGGCCCCCTTTGGCTCTTTTTTAAACCGCTTCTCAAGTACACATCACTCCTGTCCCCTCATTCACAAGGTGTAGTGGACAATAATGGTTTAACCTACCCCTCTTAGGATGTTATTTACATGCAAGTGGCATGTTCTAGTGCTTTGAGAGTAATTACTGCAGAACCTTTCAAGCATTTGAGAAATGTGCAGGCAAAGGAGCCAAGTGTTACACCACTGATCTGCCAGCATCCGAGTTGGCCATGGGCACATGATAAGCTGACCGGCGTGTGTGGATGCTGCGTCCACATATGGAAAGGGCACTGGCTTGGGAACCAGACCCACCTGGGATTGAATTGAAGATCCTCTACATACTTGTAGTGTGGCCTTAGGCAAGTCCTTTAAGTTCATAAGCTTTGGTTTCCTCACCTTTAAAAGGGGGATATAATAGCACTGCCCCTGCGAATGTAGTTCTCTGTCTTGTTGGCAGAAGAGTTTGAGAGCTCCAGGCACTAAGTAGCCCAGGGCCTGGCGCAATCCAGGCCCTCCGTACATGGCACTTCCTGTTAGGCTTGATCTGGAGTGCTCTCAGCCCCAGGCAGCACTCCAGCGACAGAAAGAGAGTCCAGGGGCCCCAGTGGACCCCTGCTCTATGTGTGTGTGTGTGTGTGTGTGTGTGTGTGCACGCGCACACTCGTGCCCTGCATGGGGCACGCTGGCTGGAGTGCTACTGACACTCCCAATCCCCATGCAGTGCGCCTTGCTTGTGTCCTCCCTGAAGAACCAGTCTGGAAAAGAACAGGAAAATGCAGCCCTCCTGAGAGAAAAGCCAAAGATGCTCAAGCCAAGAAGCCAGCCCAGGAAGCTCTGTCCCTCCAAACCCACAGCACCCTCGGTGGCCAGAATGGTTTGACTTTCCTCCCTAATAACACGTAGAGGATTTTGTTTCCGCCTTGTCTCCTGGTCTTTCCTAGGTCTTGAAGTGGCCTGGGCCAGGCCCCCAGACCTCAGGGCCAGCAGGGGGTGGGGTCTTCAGTGGGCAGGGTCCTGGCCTCCAGGGGAAGGAGACCCCTGGTGGAGGGGGGCGTGCTTCTGACTCAGCTCTGGGGCACTCTGGCCGCCCCCTCCACCCCACCTTTGGCTCTGCCTGGCTGTCCCAGCTTTGTGGTAAGGGCTCCGTGGAATGGGCACCCACTCTGCTATGATGGTTGTAAGGCAGGAGGGCTCCTCATCCTGGAGGGTCTTTCGGGAGCAAAGGAACTGGGGCGTTAGGGTGCATCTAACAGGCTCTTGCTGCTGCTGCTCGGGGCTTACAGGGGTCTGACAGGAACCTGAGGGTGGACCGGTGCCTGCTGGGGGCTCTGTCCTGCATAAAGTACCCACCTTAGCAACCAGAAGGGCCCCGTCCTGGAGGTGTGCCTGCGGAAAGGGCCCAGACTCCATGGTGCTTGTGAGCAGAGTGGGCCATGCTGTGAGCTCTTCAGCCTTTCACCAACCGGCAGACCTGTGTGAACACAGCACATTTTCAGAATGAAGGAATCTCCCCAGACAGTGTGTATCTTACTCCCGGCCCGGGGCCTGCACTTGGAGAGACTCTGTCCACACAGGCACTGCCCTCGTTCACAGAGCTCCACCAGGCTCTGGGAACCAGCCCAGGGACGTTGTGCTCTCCTGCCTTCCCAGATTCTGAGGTGAAACCCAGAATCTTGGGCTCTGCTTCCTGGGCCTTCAGTGGTTCCTGAGCTGATTCAGTAAGAGGAGGCTCGGGCTGAGCCAGGGCCTCTAAAGGGCCTCCTGAAAACCGGGGCCGGGGGCTCCCTGAGGGGGCAGCGTCTTTCACAGCTGCTCACCCACAGGTCCCCTCAGCTGGTCCAGGCCCTGGGCGACTTTACCAATCACCACGTTCCAGTTGTGCCCGGTAATGAAGGAACCCCTCCCTTAACACTGAGGTGCCCAGTAGGGCACAGAAGTTACCAGAATGGTTGCTTGTCATGCTGGAGGCCCAGAAACCCCAGTCCAGTAGGAAGAGGGGCAGGTAACTGGTGACGAAAATTCTGGCAAATCGCCACAGTTGTCCTAGCAGGCCCTCTCTCTCTCACAACACACACACACACACACACACACACACACACACGTTTTCACCTCTAAACCGAGAGTCCCCTCTGAATCCACTACAGGCGTTGGGGCAAATGTTTGAGGTCTGCTTCCTCAGGCCTCTGCATGCAAAGATTCCCACCTGACAGACTGAGGCTGGGGTGGCTGGGGTACTGCCCGCCACAGAGAACAGGCCTCTGATGGGAGAGACTGCCTGTTTTCTAGAGCATGAAAGATGACCCTGACCGACAGAAGAGTGCCCCTGTGAAAGCTCTGATGTGGCGTCCACTCAGTGGCAAAGCGGGCATCCCCCCAGGTAAGGCGTGGCCACTGGGGGAGGAGGGGTGGACACGCATGGCTGAGACGTGGATTAATAATCACAGTAACTGAAGTGATCACTGATCATGAGCATTGACGGTGCGCCAGCCCTTCTGCTAAGATCGTCCCATTTAAAGCTTAGAACAGTCAATCCTGTATGGCAGGGAATCTATTACCTCCCCCGTTTTGCTGATGAAGACATTCAGGCTCAGAGGGGCTAAGGAGGTGTCCGGTGCCTGCCAGTCATGACAGGGCACTGGTGTTTTCATGAAAGCACTCAGCTCTTAGGACCTAGGACCATATATCTTACTTCTAATGTCAAAGACCCAGCAGGGTGGCTCAGAACAGTGTTATGAAGTCAGCGAGACCTGGGTGGAATCCTTGCTCTGCTTCTTACTTAGCTCATGTGTAAACAGGGGGACTGTGAGGCTAGAACAAGACAGCCCACTGGAAGCACTTGTCACCCAGCCTGGTCAATATCAGCAGCATAACTGACCCAGGTGAGGCCAGGTGCCCCAGGTAGCCCCCAGGGACCTCAGAGCCTCCTGGGAGCCCCCTTTCCAGGGCAGAGCAGAGCTGAAGCTGACAAGTCTCCAAGCCAAGCTGCACAACTTCATCACATAAACCCAGAGGCTGCTCCAGCCAACAAGCCAAATGTCCTCTAGCTGCAGCCCAGCCGGTGAAAGAAGGGACAGCAGGGCGGAGGAGGAAGACCACAGCGAGGGACGCAGAGGCATCTCTCTCGCTGTTTTATACCGAGACAGGGAATAACGTGGGTAAGTCAGAGGCTGCACCAGTGTCTGGATGGCCCCCTTTGCCCTACGGGACCCGTGGGGTCATTACCCCATGGGAAGGAGACCTCTCCAGCTGCCCCAGGATACGGGCGGCAGTGCCTCCGGAGCAGGCCTTTCCTCAAACCACTCAGGTCTCCCTGTCCGGGAAAGTGAGCTTGCCAAGTCTTGACACAGGCAAGAAGATGGGAAGAGTCAATGTCGGAGGTCTCCCGGTCCCACTCCATCCACGTCCACGGAGGGGAAGTGTCCTCAGCGCTGAGGCTGAATGGGAAGGAAGTGGAGATGAGTCCCCCAGGCCAGCCTGAATGATTGCTGCAAAATGACACAGGTCCCAGTGGCAACTCATTGATGTGTGGAGAAGGGAGGTCCCAGCACACTTCCCCAGATCCACCCAACAGCCTCCCTCCTACCTCCCAGCAGACTGCACCTAAGGAAGGTTACAACTGACTTGATTGACAGAGAAATTAATGTGAAAAAGGGAGGCGTGGCTAAGAGAATTGTGCAAGGTAACCCTACTCTGTTTCTCCCAGGATCCGTGTACAGGAAGTATCCTCAAGGAAGGGGCTTAAGAAGAACTAGCTCTTCTATCGAGTTGCCCAGAAAGGATACAATCTGCTCAAGCCAAGAGGTATTATTATTACTCTGTCTGCACGGCACATGCCCCCCTGGGTAGTAATTGCTTCCACAAACCATTATTTCTAGGAGGGTAGATGTACTTGGAACTAAGGACATACCTGTTTAGGATGACTATTTAAAGTGTCCGATGGAATAAGGATAAAATAGAACTGCATGGGAACCTGGGTCTGCCACTGCCTAGCTGGGCGACCGTGGGCAAGTCACTCAGTCTCAGTGTCTTCGTTTATAAAATGACAACAATTGTACTAGTAGGACTGCTGATTACTTGAAGTATATTTGTGTAAAGTACTTAGTGATGTCAGATCCTCTTGGATGCAAGCAGCAGAAGTCCCCTTTCCTTGTGTGCAGATCCAGAAGACAGAACATCTTTTCTTCCCACAACCAGTTGATAAAAGTCTGAGCTTGGTTCTGATTGGTCCAACCCTGGATGCTATGCTCTGATTGCCTTATACCTGCCCATTCTTGTATCTCTCATTGTCACGAGGAGACTATCCTAATTGGTTTAGAGTCTGAACTTTAGACCAATCAGAGTTTCCATTCAAATTTCATGGGAGAGGGTTGAAATGGATATTGGGGGAGCAACAATGTCCACCAGACTAGAGAGTAGTAAGTGCTTAATAAATTGTGTTCCCTGCTCCCCAGATTTCTTGTGCATCTCTCCCCAGCACTGGGGATGGACTCTGCATGCGATGGAGGCTCCCTGAGGACCTGGGAACCCCATATTTCGAATATTAAGCAGATTTCAAACATGACATTTTAATAGATGAGTCAATCATTCAATTAAGCCTGAGTTACCCAAGATAATAGTTCTTTCTTTTTTCCAAAGTGGATAGCAAATTACGGGCTGAAAAAACTGAAGATGGAGATCTCCAGATACCTTGGTCCCAACTGCACTCATCAAAAGTCCGTACAGAGATCGGCATCAGCCAAGCACTGCAGCGTCTTCCCCAGCACGGAGATCAATGTAAGTCAAGATTTTTGTTGTCCCTGCTGTTTCTTCTCTCCCAGCTCCTTGGAGCCTCTTCTCAGGCATAAATGACCCAGGGTGTTGGGGAGAACTCCACCCCTGGCTTCTATTCTTGCTTCTAAGAACCCACCCCCTAGAGGGGGACTTGCCCTCAGGGAATAGGAGATGCAGAATCCTGTTGGAAGAAAAGTCAGCCCCTCAGAGTGCCTGAGTCCACACTCAGGGTCAGGGAGGCTCATTGGAGTAAGAATTAGAAACAGCTGCTGAGAACGTAGGGCGTTGGCTGGAATACTCACCAGTAAGAACTCTGCAGCCCGATACTGATGATGGTTCCATTAGGATGGCCGGGAACAGGGGTTATGACAGGAGGTGAAAAGGTCCTCTTCTCTGTTTTCTAGTTTGGGGATAATTACTTTATTGCTTTGACACCGGCACAAGTAAATTTAGTACAAAATGAAAATCTAATAATACTTCAAAAAAAAAGTTTTCTCTCCTTGCCCTTTGATATGACATTGTCAACATTAGAGGAAACTATAAAGCTAAAAATAGCCACCAAATTCCAAAATTATCTACCAGAAACATTTTACGGGAGTTTAATCATTCTGCCCACCACCCTCCATCTGAGATCATCTTTTAGTTTGAAATTTTTGGACCTCCAATCCTACCATTAAGGGTTTTCTATTTAAAATTTAGAGATACAATGTTTTTTATTATTACGGTGACCACATTTGCCACAAATCCGTCATCCCAACTCCCCCACATCTTCCTAGAACCATGCATTTGATAGTTTAATAAAAGAAGAAAGCTTTTAAACAAACCAAAAAAATGGATGCTTAACAATGTTTTGAAAATTGTAAACACAATGGACTAAGTTATTTTAGGGGGCGATGGGATACGAAGAAATAGCTGATTGGGGGAAATTTGCTGTCGCTTGCCTTAATCCAGGGCATGGTGAGACACATTCAGTGTACTCCCAGGGAAATGGAAGCGTATATCACAGGCCTGGAGAAGCTGATGCGGCGCTATGTCCAGAGGCTGCAGTGGCTGCTGTCTGGTGAGCCCGCCTGCTGTCCTGGAGGGCAGAGGGGCCGGAGGAGAAGTGGAAGGTCAACCCCAGGACCCTGTGATCCGCCCTTCCAAAGCCTTTGGAGGGGGTGTGGCTGTCAGGTCAGAGGCTGAGGTCGGGCAATGAGGCTGAATACATTCCCCATTCCTGACTCACACTTCCTGCCCGGAAGAGGGTGGAAGGCCGTCCTGCAGCTGCTTTTTTTGGTACAAATCGAACCCCGACCTCACATACAGTTACACCCCCAATTCCATCTAATACTTCAAAACGTACCCAGGGGATGCTGCACTGATTCACTCTGATTGTTCAACTAATGAATGTTTTTCCCCTGCTCAGGGCTGCAGAGGTGGTAGAGGAAGCACCTGGCATGGTCTCTGAGCTCATGGAGGACACAGATGTTAGGCAAAGAGCACCCGTGCAAGTGTTGGGAGGAGACGGGTGTGGTGCTGTGAGAGGGGCAGTGGGCCTGTGCTGGGAGGTCACAGAGGGCTTCCCCGAGGAGCCGAGACGTGGGGCATGAACAGATGTTACCTGAGCAGAGAAAGGAAAGATGCTCAGGGCACAACTGAGCGGGAGGGAGCTGAGCACAAGGACTAAAAGGAAGCCAGTGTGGCTGAGAGTAAAGGAAGCGGCCATGCTAGGGAGGTGAGCCATGGCCTGGACTTTGTCCTTTATCCTAAGAGCAATGGGAAGCCACTAAATGGCTTTAAAAAGGGGGAAGTGATCAAGTTAGCATCGGCAACAATCTCTCTGGTTGCTGCGTGGAGTATAAATTGTTGAGGGGATGGAGTGGAATCAGGGCAACCTAGGAGGGGTCTGGGGCAAGGATTAGGACAGCTGGAAGGGTAGTGGTGATGCACATGGACAAAGAAGGCAGGATGAGACTCGGGAGGCAGAAAAGATAGGGCTCGGTGGCTGGCAGTGTGTCTCCGCTGTCTGGTTCCCAGGATGGATCAGCTGGCCTTTTGGGTGGGAACCTCTTGACCTACTGGCTGGCTGGCTGTCCTCTCGGAACGTCCCTCGCGCTTCAGGACAGCTCCCCTCCTGTCCTCAGGTTGACATGAGCATTGCCAGGGAACACCACAGATGAGTCCTGGAAGACTCCTGGACAGTGGGTCCAGCCAGCTCAGGCCCCCTTTAAGTCTGGAGAGCAGTGGGCCCATTTTGCAGCAGTTTTTCCATTTTTTTTCTGCTCCTGCCTCCAGTGAGGTCTGAGGTGTGATCAGGAATGCTGGACACATTATCTTCTGCTTTTGACTTCCCCTGGGGTTACCTCCATTTAGCTTTGGGCACCAGAAGGGCCAGGATTGGAAGCATGGATCAGAGGACCTCGGTGTGAATCTTGGCTCTCACTACCAGGCTGTGTGGCCCTGGACAAGTTGCCTGCCCTCTCTGTTTCCCCTGAGCGAAATCCCAAATCCTTTAACAACCTCTCCAGCATTCTCTCTCTCCCTCTAGCTCCTCTTTCCCATTCAGAGCCTTTCACAGGCTGTTCTCTCCACACTCACTCCTCTCTCCTCAGCCACTGCTGCTCATCCTTCAGCCTGCTCCCCACCCAACATCCATCGAATTCAGGTCCTCCCAGTACGTGTTCCTGTGGCGGTTTGTCATCACCTTCAGTGGAGTTGTAGCTGGTGGTGTATCATCTGTCTTCCTTGCCCAGCTGGCAGCTCCATGAGGGCAGGGAACCAACCCTCTCCCGTCTCCACTGCACTTTCCTCAGTGCTGGGCACCCAGTGGACACTCGCTTGATGTCTGTTGACTAATCGACAGACTCCACGCTCTGTAACTTCGTTTCTAGCCCCGGACAAGACTGTGACACCATTTAACTTTAGGGATGGGGAAACTCAAGCCCAGAGAGGTTATCATCACTTGGATGAGTCATCACAGGCCAAGATACCACTGAAAGCTTGACCTCCCAAAGCCCAGACCACTGACTGGCTCTGCCCTTGGACAGTGACCCCTCCAGAAACACCACTGAGGCCATCTCCCAGTGGGTTCACATCTGACCAGTGATCAGTCAGGCAAGGGGTGTTGGGAGACCTTGAATTTGATAGCTGCAATGATGAAAACCGCCCTCACTTCTCCCCTGCCTCTGCCCCCACCCACCTCGGAGCAGGGAGCCGCCGACTGTTCGGTACCATCTTGGAGAGCAAAGTGTGCATCCTGCTCGACACGTCGGGCTCCATGGGCCCCTACCTGCAGCAGGTGAAGACAGAGCTGGTTCTGCTCATCTGGGAGCAGCTGCGGAAGTACTGTGACAGGTAAGAGGCAGGGGTGTGTGTGGGTGGGTGAGGGTCAGGAAGATCCCAGGGGTAGCTTCCGAGGTTTCTCTGGTCCAGGCCACTCCCTCTCACAGTTCCAAAGGGCTAGAGGCTTCCAAAACGCTCTTTTGAATAGCAGGAAAGAACACTGCCTTCTGTTGCAAAAGTCAAGTGGTTTTCAGAAATCCATCTCGGGTCCAGGGACAACTGCCAGCAAAGGAACCACCAGGTGGCCTTGAATCATAGATTTCAGCTGAACTTGATTATTTAAGGTTTAGGGTGGTTTGTTCTCTCTACCCAGAAGGGTTGACTCTAAGGGGACAGCAGAAGACTCTGGTCCCAGGCTGGGGACTCATCCTTGCCTTAATATTATGTATGTATGTATGTATGTATGTATGTATGTATGTATGTATGTATGTATGTATGTATTTATTTATTTATTTATTTATTTAATGGAGGTAGTGGGATTGAACCCAGGACTGCATGCATGCTAAGCATGCCCTCTACCACTGAGCTATACCCTCCCCCCTTGCCTTACTATTTAAAAGAGCAGACATTGATAGAGCACTTTCCTTGTGCCAAGCACCTTACAGGCATGATGTCATTCAGTCCTCACAGTGAGCTGATTATTACCTCCATTTTTCAGAAAAGGAAACAAGGGCTTAGAGAAGTTAAATAATTTGCCCAAGATCGCATAACCAGCAAGTGGCTAAGATGGGATTTAAATCTATCTCTGTCTGCATCCATCACTGTGTACCTTCTCATTCTCAGGTGGTCCCCGGGGGGCCCAGGGCTCCCAGGAACAGGCATGAGCACCGGCAGGGAGGTTACTTCCCCTGGGGTCAATATGCGTTCTAACCAATGTCTTTCTCCTCCTCCCCGCCCCCCACCTCTCCTTCTCCCCCTACCCCAGTTTTAACCTGCTCAGCTTTGCAGAGGGCCTACAGCCGTGGCAGGACACTCTGGTGGAGACCACAGACGCAGCCTGTCACGAGGCTATGCAGTGGGTGACCCACCTGCACGCTCAGGGGAGCACCTCAGTCTTGCAAGCGTTGCTGGCAAGTTCCACCTCCAAGCCCAACCCGGGAGCAAAGCAGAAATACTATCCCCCTCATCCTGATTTTGCACAAGGCTTTAGGGTTTGCAAAGAGCACTTTAGAGTTTGCTAAGTGCGAAATTGTTTCATCTTCCCAACAACCCAGTGAGAATGAGATTCTCCTTCTTCTCACTTTAGAAGTGAAGACCCAGAGGCCCAGAGAGGTTAAGTGACTTGCTTGGGCTCACCAGCTAGGAAGCAGGCCGTGCTCTTTCTCCTAAACCTTAGCAGCTTCTTTGGTCTGTCAGAGGCTGAAAGAGGAGGCCTTCATTCTTCATGACAAGTCAGATCCAATCAGACATTCTCCTTGGGGACAGCAGGCCAGGGGTCTCTGCCCTTCCTGGCTGGCCCCTCCCCTGAGCTAGACAGCCCATGTGCTCTTTCAGAAAGCTTTCAGTTTTCCTGATGTGGAAGGATTGTACCTCCTGACCGATGGGAAGCCAGACACAAGCTGCAGCCTTGTTCTCAGTGAAGTCCAAAGACTCAAGGAGAAGAGAGACGTGAAAGTGCATACCATTTCCCTGAACTGCTCGGGCAGGTGGGCAGCGAGGAGGCGGCTGGGTTGCATCCCTTCCCCACGGCCACATGTCTGAGGGGCAAGGCTGATCCTCACCTAATCCAGGGACTCACATTAGCTGCTGGGCTCTCCTGAGCCCAAATCCTGTGAGTCAGCGGTTAGGAGGGCCTAGGCAGGCATCACACCAGAAAGAGCCCCCCTCTGCACCCATGTCTGCCCACCATCAGGGTCCGCCCACTGCCCTCCTGGCTTGTCCAGCCTGGAAATGAATTTGCCTCTATTCTCAGTCACACACCGTGTTCTCCCCTTTTGCCTTTCTTGGGGGCACATTTGTGAACATTTAGGGGGGAAAATGTTTAAAGTAGCTGCAGTTATTTTTATAAATGATCACCACAGAAGAACATGTATTAGACGAGAGAGATTCAGCTCCTTCAGGAAAAAATAAAAACAAAACTTTACTTGGCAAAACTGTGATCACGTACATTCATCCTTAGTCTCTGTCTAAACCATGAACTCCGTAAAGGTCACACTGTGTTCCTGCCAGGTCAGACACAGAGCGGGCACTGGGTAGATGTCCAGCTAAGGAACTTTAAGGGGTGCTTTGAGGGGTCCAGGTTAAATGGTGGCCCAAATACGGTGACTCTGCTTCAGGCAGCAGCAGCAGCCACCCTGCCACCCAAAAACTGGCAGGGAGGGTGACGCCCACATGGTCTCAGTGGCACAGAGCCTCAGGGTCCAAGGCCCACTGCCTTACTGATCTGACTTCCCCAGGGGCTGAGGGCTCACAGAGAACTCGCCTGGCAGGCCAGTGGGCCCAGCCCCAGCCC